GGGGGGCCACTGGGCCAAGAGAGGAGACCCGCCAAGGGTTAACCCAGCCTCCTTGGCATTCAGGGAAAAAACAGCCACAGCTGAGCCCAGCTTCTGCCCCGGCAGATCAAGCCCGACCTGTTTGGCAGCTCCGCTCCTGAGCCAAGAGCCACCCGGGGGGGGGGGGTGTCTGCTGCAGTGTCTCCTCCTTGCTTGCGACTGTGTAAGCAGACACACAAAACGGCCCTTTGTTTGCAAGGCCCAGTGGGGCTGCCTCTGGTAGGGAGTGCCTCTCCTCCCCCCCCACCTGAAATCGGACACACACCACTCGCACAAACACAAGCTTGCTTCTGTAACAAGGGGAGGAGGGCTTCCCTGGCTATAGCAAGGCCAGCCCCCCCCCTTCTCAATGCCCCCCCAGCCCCCTCCTAGCAGCCCAGGTGTTAGCAGGGAGCAGCCCACCGGTTGCAATTCCCCCCCCCAAAAAAATTTTGGAGCCTGGGGCTGGAGAGGAGGGAGCAAGGTGGGGGTCTTCCTTACTGCATGGGGGGGGGCACAGGCTGCTTCCTGGAGTCCTCCCCCTCTCCTTCCCCCATCACACTGTTGTGCAAGTATCCCATTCTCTAGCACACACACACATATGCACAGGTGGCTGGCAACCCCCCCCCCACACCCCAGTTCCTGGGGGAGGATCCTCTGAGAGGGAGGGGGGAGCTTTCACTGAGGCTGGGAGAAGGAACACAGTCTGCTGGGTCCGGCCCCAGTTCCACAAGCAGTCCTTGACTTACGACGCCTTGCTTAGTGACCGTTCAAAGTTACGATGACACTAAACAAAAAGAGGTGACTTATGACCGTTTTTCACACTTACGACCCCCGGGGTCCTGCGCTCAAGATGCCGACGCTCGCCAATTGACTCGTACTTATGATGGTCGCAGCATCCCGAGGCACGGGTCCTGCTTTTGCAACCCTCTCGCAAGCAAAGTCACTGATTCACTTAACAACCTGTGACGAGAAAGGTCGTGAAATGGGGCAATGCTCGCTTAACAAAGGTCTCACTTAGCAACATACATTTTGAGCTCAATTGTGGCCGTTAAGTTGGGAATGACCTGTATTGGTCTCACAACAAGAGACCCCCCCCCCCGAGGTAGCAGAGAGGGGACGGTGACCCTTCCCCTGCAGAGCATCTGGAGACCAGAGACCCAGCCCAGAGGGAGTGTGGACTCCAACACTCATCGCCCCCTCCAGGCAAGTTCAATTCCCACCTAGCAAGAAGGCAAGGCAGCAGAATGACAAGAGCGGGAAGGGACCTCCGAGGTCCTCTAGATCAACCCCGATCAAGCAGGAGATCCTGTACCATTTCAGACAGGATGGTTGTCCAATTTTTTTCTTTAAAACTTCCAGTGTTGGAGCCCTCACAACTTCTGGAGGCAAGGAGTTCCGCTGGTTAATTGTTCTGTCAGGAAGTTTCTCCTTAATTCCAGGTTGCTTCTCTCCTTGATCAGTTTCCACCCATTGTTTCTTGTCCTGCCCTCTGGCGCTTTGCAGAACAGGTGGAAACCCCCCCCCCCCTTCTTTGTGGCAACCCCCCAAATACTGAAATGCTGCTCTCACGTCACCCCAAGTCCTTCTCTTCATTAAACTGGACATACCCAATTACTGCAACCGCTCTTCCTATGTTTTAGCCTCCAGTCCCCTAAAACCATCTTTGTTGCTCTTCTCTGCCCTCTTTCCAGAGTCTCAACATGTCGTGGCAACCAAAACTGGGTGCAAGTAGTGCAAGTGGTTATAAAGTGGTCCGAACTCTTCGTTCAGAATTTGGGGAAGGGTCGTGGCAGCAGAGCCCCTGAGGCCTATGGAAGGCCCTGGGTTCCTGGGCCTTGGAAAATGTTCCCGGTATAGGATCAGAGCATGGCATTTGGGGCTTCTGGTCACTAAATGAGAGCGCGCTATAAAAACGGATAAATAACCTGGCACAGGTTAGAATTAGCCTGGCAGGCTTACAAACTGGGTCCCTTCAAGAGGCAGAGATTTTAATTTCTGGGTCCCTTCCACCTAGACCAGTGTTTCTCAACCTTGACAATTTTAAGGCATGTGGACTTCAACTCCCAGAATTCCACAGCCAGCATTGCTGGCTGTGGAATTCTGGGAGTTGAAGTCCACATGCCTTAAAATTGTCAAGGTTGAGAAACACTAACCTAGACTCTAGTTGAGACTCTAGAAAGAGTGCAGAGAAGAGCAACAAAAATGATTAGGGGACTGGAGGCTGAAACATATGAAGAACGGCTGCTGGAATTGGGCATGTCTAGTTTAATTAAGAGAAGGACGAGGGGGGACATGATAGCAGTCTTCCAGTATCTCAGGGGCCGCCCCAAAGAAGAGGGAGTCAAGCTACTCTCCAAAGTGCCTGAAGGCAGGACAAGAAGCAAGGGATGGAAACTAATCAAGGAAAGAAGCAACCTGGAACTAAGGAGAAACTTCCTGACAGTGAGAACAATTAACCAGTGGAACAACCTGCCTCTAGAAGTGGTGAATGCTCCAACACTGGAAGTTTTTAAGAAGAGACTGGACAGTCATTTGTCTGAAAGGGTATAGGGTTTCCTGCTCGAGCAGGGAGTTGGACTAGATGACCTCCAAGGTCCCTTCCAACTTTATTATTATTATATCTATTTTCTCGCTTTTACACACAGTTCTCGACTTCCAACCCATTCGTTTAGTGACCACATTTACAACGGCACAGAAAAAAAGCAACCTACAGCCAGTCCTTGGACGGACGACCATTGCAGCATCCCTATGGTCGTACAATCAGAATTTGGGAGGGGGGGCTTGGCAACTGACTCCTATTTACGACGGCTGCAGTGTCCGGGGGTCATGTGATCTCCATCTGCGACCTTCCCACAGGCAGAGTCAATGGGGGAAACTGGATTCGCTTAACGACTGCATGCTTCGCTTAAGGACTTCCGTGATTTCTTTGACAACCGTGACAAAGCAGCTCGTAAAACGGTCCAGCTAAGAACCGGCTTGCTTGGCCACAGAAATTCTTGCAGTAGCTGCGTAAAGTTCCTCATGCTTGTGGTCAAGGCTGTAATTCTGGTGGATGAATTCAGGCCACCGAGCTTGAGTAGGACCGGTGAATAAGCGGCAAGAAATGCTGGATATTTAGAAATCTGCTTTAAATAACCAGTTCCTAGTCTTGTTCCACCCGTCAATAAAATTCAGACAAGAGTGGAGCAAAACTTCCAGGGACGAATACGGACCGTTTTCTCAGCCCCAGAGCCGTCCTGCCACTGCCTTCCCCGAAGTACTTTTTGACCTTGTTCATTTATTTAATGTATTTATTCATGCAAAACATTTATATAACCATCCGTTTTATAATCCCACTCCGGGCGGCTCCCAAGGCAAAATAAAAACCCGTAAAAACTATAATAAAACCATAAAACAAAGCCGCATTAAAAACAACCACGACAAAAACCTGGCACCCAGCCAGACTTCTCATCTGCAGTTATCCAATCTGATCCCAGCACTTGGGGGTCTTCCAAGCCTTGGGGGGGGGGCAAGGAGGGTGGAGGCCTGCTTCATTTCTGTGGGGTGGGTGTTCCATGGGGCAAGGGCTGCCGGGAAAGAGGCAAACTCCTAGATGGCAACATTCAATCAATCAGAACAGAGTTGGAAGGGACCTTGAAGGTCTTCTAGTCCAGCCTCCTCTCCCCCCGCCACTGCTCAAGCAGGAGACCCTACACCATTTCAGACAAGCAACTGTTCTTAAAGACCCCCAGTGATGGAGCACCCACAACATCTATTTGACCTTGTAGGAAATTTGGAACTTTAAGACTGGTGGACTTCAACTCCCAGAATCCCTCTTGGTCTTCCTCTTGGTCTCCCATCCCAATATGTTCCTGGGCTGAGCTGATCAGAGAGTCTGCCCAGGGTTGCCACCTTTCATTCTGAGTAAGCATGGAATGTTTTTCTCGCCCTTCTTCTGTGGAAGCCTAGGCACCCAACCCTTTGGCGGGCAAATCTTCCCCTTCTTTTTTTTCTTTTTTTAAACAAAATTTTATTAAATTTATATAGGTAAGGAAAAATAGGAAGAATACAGGTATGGTAAAGGGAAGGGTAAAAGGAAAGAGGGAGGGGAAGGAAATAAGGAATTAGGGTAAAATAAGGATAGGTACAATCACATATTTCAACAAACAAGCAACCGTCCGGTTCATAATAATGAGTAAGTATCATATTCAACCATATTTAACAAAGGGGGCTCAGAGTAACATATTAAAAATAATTTGTAAACAAATACGTTGACCTATTAAGTAAACACTACTAATAAAATCCCCAAAAAATAAATAAATCCTAACAATCAAAAGTAACAAATGAAAATCAGTAAATGAGGAAAAGTAATCGTATCATCAAAATGTTAGTTAGAACTCGATTAAAAATCAGTCATCTATTCTAAAATATTAAATCCTTCAAGTTCTAACGTGTCTCTAACCATTGATAAATTTTTTCCCAAGTTCTAAAATAAATTGAATCCTCTTTTTCTTTCATTTCTAATGTTAGTCTACCCATTTCTGCACACTCTAGAATTCTGGTAATAATAATCTGATCAGATGGTAGATTCTCATTTTTCCAAAATTTGGGAAAGCTTCCCCTTCTGAGGCCAGTGGCACCTAGGATAGCCCATTGGCACCAGCCCTTTTGACCCAACGTCCAACCCGATGGTGGGCAAAGCTTCCCTTTCAAGGCCAGGAGGTGCCCAGGCCTGTCCCTTGGCATCTGCCCCTTGGAAATCCTATAGTGGGCCAGCTTCCCTTCCATTTTGACATCTGGAGGTGCCCAATGCCACCTGTTTGCACCTGCCCATTTCACCCAGGGTTCAACCCTTTGACAGACAAGGCCCCCCTCCCGTTCAAGGCCAAGAGGCTTCTGGGAGAGACCGCACTGGACGGAGGGTTCGACCTTTTGGCGGGCAAAGCTCCCCTCCCCTTCGAGGTGGGGAGGCCTCCGGTGGTGCCCGCGGGCGCCCCTACCCGGCGCGTACTCCATGGCGATCATCAGGGCCTTGTCCTCCAGGAAGTTCTCGTAGTACTCAATGATGTGCGGGTGATGCAGCAGCTTCAGCACCTGGCACTCGTTCTGGGCCGCCAGGCGCTCGTCCTTGGTCATCTGCTCCACCGGGATCTGCTTCAGGATGACCAGCTTCTGGTCCAGCCGGCGCAGGCACAGGTGGACGATCCTGTGGGGCGGCCGGGTGCGTCAGGGAGTAGGGCATGGGGGTGGGGTGGGATTCCTCCCACATGGGGGGGTCAGCTAAACCCCCACCCACTCCCTGAGCCCCCTTTGGCGGGGCAGACGGCCATGTCAAGGGGGGCATGGGGAGATTCCCTCACCAGGGGGGGACCCACTCTTTGATCCCCCTTTTATGGGGCAGCTCTGGGTGCCTCAAGAGGCAGGGTGTATGGGGGCATGGGAAGGGCATGGGGGGCTTATATCAAATGGGGGAGCAGCTGGGCCCCTCTCCCTGAGCCCCCTTTTGCAGGGCAACGGGAATATCAAGGGGGAGATGGGGGTCATGGGTCATGGGGGGCTCCTTCCACAGGGGGGGTCAGCTTGGCCCTCTCCCACTCCTTGAGCCCCCTTTTGTGGGGCAATTGGGTATATCAAGAGGCAGGGGGGCAGGGGGGGCATGGCAAGGGCTTGGGAGGCCTGGGGGAGCTTCTACTTCGGGGGGGCAGCTGGGCCCCTCCCACGAGCCCCCTTTTGCTCGGGGGAGTTTGGGGGGCACGGGGGTCATAACTGACCCCCTCTACATGGGGAGTCAGCTTGGCCCCCCTCCCTCCCCTGAGCGCCCCTTTGGAACGGGACTTTCCGTGGGGAGCCCAGCCGGGCCTGAGAGATGGTGCCCTGTCTGTGCCTCAGTTTCCCCGTGGGTAAAGAGGGTGCAAAGGAGGGCTGGGGGCTGGGAGGGGGGGTTCCTCTGTAGGGAGGGGGGGGAGAAATGGGGTTTTCATCGCCAGAGCTGAATGCCGACGGGAGCCCCCCCCCGATCCCCGCAGGGAGGGACTACAAAGCCCATCGCGGGAGAAGCCCCGTCTCTTGGAAGGCCGCCGCGGAGGAGGGGGGGTGGCGCGCCAAAGGCCGCCGGCTGTGGACGATGGGCGTGGTAGTCCCGCGCCTCCAGAACCGCCCCGCCGTCAACGCCCCCTCCCCTCCCCTCCCCCCAATCCTCCTTAAGAACCGGTTTTCGAGCCGGGCGGCTCCCATTGGCTGGGGAAAGAGAGGAGGGGGAGGTCCCGCCCCCTCCCGCGTCTCCACGGCGACCGCCGCCCTCACCCGAACGCCCCCCGCCCGACCACCCGGATCCGCTCGTATTTCTCCATCGGGCGCCGCCGAGTAGGCCGCGGCCGACGGGCCTCGCGTTGCCATGGTGACCTTGCCGGGCGCGGCTGCCTACGGCGGCCGGCGGGGGTCAAGCCGCGCCGTTATCGCGCCGCCCGGCTAGACTAGAATATATGGAATGAGAAAATGGCAGAATTGCAATGCGCCTTAGAGGTCTTCTAGTCGAGCCCCCTGCTCTAGCAGTGGACCCCAAGCCGAGAGTGGCCAATTATGGGACTTTAAGGCTGATGGACTTCAACTTAACATTAATAATAGTAGTAAAGGTGGAAGGGATCTTGGAGGTCATCTAGTCCAACCCCCTGCTCGGGCAGGAAACCCTACACCATTTCGGACAAATGGCTGTCCAGTCTCTTCTTAAAAACTTCCAGTGTTGGAGCATTTACTGCTTCTGGAGGCAGGCTGTTCCACTGATTAATTGTTCTCACTGTCAGGAAGTTTCTCCTTAGTTCTAGGTTGCTTCTCTCCTTGATTAGTTTCCACCCGTTGCTTCTTGTCCTGCCTTCAGGTGCTTTGGAGAATAGCTTGACTCCCTCTTCTTTATGGCAGCCCCTGAGATATTGGAGCACTGCTATCATGTCCCCCCTTGTCCTTCTCTTCGTTAAACTAGACATACCCAATTCTCGCAACCGTTCCTTATATGTTTTAGCCTCCAGTCCCCTAATCATCTTTGTTGCTCTTCTCTGTACTCTTTCTAGAGTCTCAACATCTTTTTTACATCGTGGTGACCAAAACTGGATGCCGTATTCCAAGTGTGGCCTTACCAAGGCCTTGTAAAGTGGCACTTCACGTGATCTTGATTCTATCCCTCTGTTAATGCAGCCTAACACTGTTGGCCTTTTTGGCAGCTGCAGCACATGGCTGGCTCATATTTAAATGATTGTCCACTAGGACTCCGAGGTCCCTCTCACAGTTACTACTACTACTGGCTGGGGAATTCTGGGAGTTGAAGTCCACCAGTCTTTCAATTCCCAAGGTTGGACACTCTTACTCTACACTATTCTAGACAAATGGCTGTCCAGTCTCTTCTTGAAAACCTCCAGCGACGGAGCACCACGGAGGGAGGACTACAATAACCACCCCGGAGGAAGGGACTACAATAACAACACCCACCGTGCAGCCCTTCCCCAACTGACACCTTGCATCCCACATCCTCTCAGATAGTGGCATGGAAGGACTGTGGCTCTCCCTAGTCCATTTCGTATTGGCAGGGGATGATGGGATTTGAGATGCGACCTTGCTTGTCACCCCCCACCACCAGCACCATTCTGCCAGCCACGATCTTGCAGGGTGGGTGCAAGGAGACAAGGAGGGTCTCCCCCATGGCTCAGGACTTCAGTTCCTATCATCCCCAGCCAGCAGGTGTGTGGGGTGCCCAGAGCTCTAAGCTGGTCTATGCATTTTGTGGCTGCTCCCAAACTGGGCAGGGGAGGCAACCCTCTGCAGGGGATGATGGTGGAAGATGGTCTCTGGAGTCCTTTCTCCTCCATTGGTGAGGAGGGTTCAGTTTTTGGGGGACTCTGGTCAGTTTTAAAGTGACAACATTCTCCCCAAAGCACCTTTCATCCTTCCTCTCTCTGTGGCCTCCCAACCATTCCACCCCCCTCCTCATCAATGGTGGGGTGTCTGCTCTTGGAGCAGGTGCAAAGAAGTCCCGTGCCGTCTGAGGAATCCTGGGAGTTGAAGTCCACAAGTCTTAAAGTTCCCAGGTTGAGCAGGGGGTTGGACTAGAAGACCTCCAAGGTCCCTTCCATCATTCTGTATTCTACAAACAAAACGAACTTCCATGTCCAGGCCCCTGTTGCACAGGCTTTGAGGTTCCATGTGGCATTCCCTGGACTGGGAGACATACTAGCTGATCCTGGGGTGGGGGGGGGAGAGGAGGAAAAGAGTAGGGGAGGACCCTCCACCACCATATAGACCCCTCTCTATATGGGTCTCCTAAACTAAACAAAGCAGGCAAGACGGCTTGATCTCAGCTTGACTGTGATGGGCGCTCTAAAAATTGATTAAATTATTCCTGCAGGGCGGAGGATAGCCAGAAGCTGGGAAAGGCTGATGGAGAGAAAAGCGTTAAAAAAAAAAAACTCAGAAAAAAGAAGTTTGCTTCTCCTTGACGTGGCACCTTCCAGTGCCCGCAGCTGGCTGCAGGAGGAGCAGGAGAGATTCTGGGTGGGCAGAACAGCCAGGAAGCTGGATTTTAATTGACACTCTGCCGCCTTCTTGGTCCCGCCCTTCTCCAGATGCAGCTGCCAGCAGGTCTAAACTTCCTCTAAAGAAGTCGAGGCAGCTTTTTCCAGCAACCCACTGAAATTAATACAGGAAACTCAAAATGGCTTGCTTTGGGGCAGGACTCCTGGCAACCAGTAATTAAAATAGATGCACTGCATCTTTTATATACATATAAACATCTTTTATGCACTGTAAAACCTCCCTAAGTTGGCCTAATTCAGTTGACCGAACATATACTATATGTACACAATGGCTGGAAAGTGACCAAAGAGAGAAGCAACCTGGAATTAAGGAGAAACTTCCTAACAGTGAGGACAATTAACCAGTGGAACAGCTTGCCACCAGAAGTCGTGGGTGCTTCATCACTGGAGGTTTTTAAGAAGAGGCTGGACAGTCACATACCGGAAATGTCAGAGTGTCTCCTGCTTGAGCAGGGGGCTGGACTAGTAGACCTCCAAGGTCCCTTCCAGCTCTATTCTATTCTAATGTCACAGTAGAAAGCCAATCTCTCTATATTGACCACCTTTGTAAGTTGTATTTTGACCATCTAGTCCAGTGGTTCTCAACCTTTTTAATGCCGCGACCCCCAACCAGTCGTAAGTCGAGGACTACTCAACCGGTCGTAAGTCGAGGACTACTCAACTGGTGCAGCACCGTTGGCAGAATGGGACTTTTGGCGGGCTCAGCAGGGCAGAGACAGCCTGGACAATTCCTATTGGCTTTTGAAAGCCAACTAGAATTAGACTCTATTCAAGAGAGTCTATTCTATTGGCTTTCAAAAGCCAATAGAATAAAAGGGAGTAGCACAGCTAAGGAAAAGGGGGGGAAAAAATGGCGGACTGCATTGTTTGGCGACCCCCGTGAAATGGTCGTTCGACCCCAAATGGGGTCCCGACCCACAGGTGGAGAACCACTGGGTTAGGGTCTCCTGCCTGAGCAGGGGGCTGGACTATATGACCTCCAAGGTCAGCGATTCACTTAACTGTAATAATAATAACAACAACAACGTTATTGTTGTTATTATATTATTGATGATGATGACGATGATGGAAGGGATCTTGGAGGTCATCTAGTCCAACCCTCCTGCTCTGGCAGGAAACCCTGTACCATTTCGGACAACTGGCTGTTGCAGGAAATAGAGCACAACAAAAGTGACTTATGGCTGCTTTTCACACTTAATGACTCCCCACGGTCACATGATTAAAATTCAGAGGCTGGCAACTGGCAGGTCCTTGTGACGGTTGCAGTGTTCCTGGGGTCATGTGATCCCCTTTTGTCACCTCCTGACGTGCAAAGTCCAGGGGAAAAATCGAGATTCGCTTCACAACTCTGTGCACCAACTGACAACTACTGCCACTCGCTTCCCAACTGCGGCAAGGAAAGTCGTAAGAACGGGGCAAGGCTCCCTCAACCACCCACCGTCTCGCTTAGCGCCAGAAGCTTCGGGGCTGCGTTGCGGCGGCGGCAGCTGGGGGCAAAAGCCAAGCAACTTCGCCCGCATTTGCGGCGGTTCCTGGCGGGGTCCCGCGCATCCCGCCCGTCCAGCTTCGTCAAAAAAGCCCCCGGCGGCCGCTCCGTGCCCGCCCGACGGCTGCAACGGCTGCCGGGCACCGGCGCTGCCCCCGCGCACACGTGCCGGGCGGGCCCGGGCCCCGCCCACCCCACGGGGGGAACCCCCTCGGGGGCGTGGCCGGGGCGGCGGGGCGGGGCGCGGGGGACCTCCCCCGCGGGGGCGCACGTGGGCCGGGCCGTCGAGCCGAGCGGGAGGGCGAGCGAGCGAGCGAGCGGGCAGGCGGGCGGCGATGGCCCCGTGGCTGCGCTCGGCCGGGCTGGTGGCCGGCTCGTCGCTGGCCTTCGCGGCCCTCCGCTGGGCGCTGAGCCGCTGCCCGCTGCCCGCCCACGTCCGCCTCGACGCCACCCGCACCTGGCGCTGGAGGAACCTGCTGGTCTCCTTCGCCCACTCCGTGGTGGCCGGCCTCTGGGCCGTCGTCGGGTGAGCCTCTGGGCGCGCGCAGAGCGCCGGCCGAGGGGCTGGGCGCCCCCCTCCGGCCCGCCAGCCGCCGGTCTCCCCCCCCCCCGGGTGGGAACGCGGCGGAGCAACGATCGCCGAGGCTTCGAAGCGGGACCCCCGGGGCCCCTCCGGGAAGCGATCGGGGTGGGGGGGGGATCGGCTCGTTGGACGGGCTGGGGTTGGCCGGGACCCCCAAACGGGCTTAAGCGGAGGCGGGGGGGGCAATCTGAGCTCATCTTCCCAGCTGGGCTCACTTTCTCGAGCTGCCTCTTTGCTGGAGGGGGGGCGGGGGGGGGAGGGTTGCCAAGCTTCCGCCAACCTGTTGCCCAATTTGGGGTGCGGCCAAGCTGGGGAAGGCCAAGAAATGCCAAGAGGCATTTTTTCATTTCTCTCCCCCCACCTCTAAAATTACTTCCTGGTTTGGGGGGGGGTCTTCCCGTTCTTTCTGCTGACCTCGGTGACTCTCCCCCCCCAGGATGTGTCAGCTGCCGGGGGCCCTGGATGACCTGGTGCAGACCACCTCCCCTTCCGCTCACCTGCTGCTGTGTTTTTCCACAGGTAAGAAGAATCCTGGGGGGGGGGGCTTTGCCATTGGTCTCCAAGGGGGGGGGCTGGGGTTTATTGGAAACTGCTTCTTTGTTTGTTAACTTTGTTGCCCCCCCCAAGGCAACTCTTCCGCCTTTCACGGACACGGTTTTTAGTACTGAAGCCCACCGACCCATTTAAGCCCACCTGCCCCTAGGAGAACTTGTCCTTTGCCAATGCTTGCCAGGGGGTCTTTGGGGAACCCCGGAGGACCCAACGTCTGGCGCTGGAGCTGTTTAGTGGGGCATCCGAAGAGACGGGCTGGGGGGCCCCCCACAAAGGTCACCCATCCCATACCCCCCCTCTGGCGTGACCTTGAAAGGGGGGGGGTCTCGGTGGGAAAGGCCCACCTGCTGCCCGAGGATCTGTTCCAGGCAGAAAATGTTGTTTTAGCTTTGCCGTGTTGTCGTGCAGGAGAACACAATGGAGGAATTAAAACACTTTTGTTCCAGTTGCGTGGTTCGTCCCACTCCCCCCCCCCCGCCAGAGCTGCCGTATTCCTCCCCCCCACCCTGAGTGTCGCTCTTGACAATGGCGATGTGAATTCCTGGGCATTTGGGCCCCCCATTTGGGGGTTGAGTTGTGGGGGGGCGCTTTAGCACAACTGGGAGATGAGGCTGGACTGAATTCTGTGCGGGGGGGGGGGGAAAGGGTGAGGTGGAGGCGGGAAAGTTAAGTTTCTGTCCTCCCAGGGGTGCAGCCGGGTGAAAGTGGGGTGAGATACTTAGGGGTGTTGGGCTATGGGGGAGTGGCTGAAGACCCCTGGCTATGAAGTAGACACGGGGATCCCCATCTTTGCAACTTTAAGACTTGTGGACTTCAACACCCAGAAATCCCTAGTCAACTTTAAGACTTGTGGACTTCAACTCCCAGAATTCCTCACCCAAGTTTAAGACTCGTGGACTTCAACCCCCACAAGTCCCCAGCCAACTTTAAGACTTGTGGACTTCAACTCCCAGAATTCCCCAGCCAACTTTAAGACTCCAGTCAATTTTAAGACAGCTGGCTGGGGCCTTCTGGGAATTGACGTCCACGCGTCTTAAAGTTAGCTGCAGAATTCTGGGAGTTGAAGTCCACGAGTCCGAAAACCCACAAGCCTTAAGGTTGCCAAGGCTGTAGACCCCTGAAGTGGAAGACCCGAGTTCGAGTCCAGCCAGGTGGTCATTTAGGGTCCCTGCCTCTCGCACAACCCAGCAAGAAGGGAAGAGTAAGTCATTTCTGAGAGAAAAGGGCCAAGAAAGCTTCATGGGGTTATCCAGGCGCTGGCCCCGAGTTCAAATTGTGGCAGAGCGAAACTAGATATAAAGGCCGAAGGGGAAGGTGAGCACACAGGTTCCTGGTTTAATGGCCGTTCTCTTGACTCCTGAGAGACGGATGGTTTGGGGGTGGCTGGGGGGGGGGCCAGCTGGATCTGTGGCTTCTCTACAAATAGCTGCCCTGCAGATTTATTAAAACTTATTTATTAAACCTGCCTGAGCAGGGGGTTGGACTAGATGACCTCCAAGGCCCCTTCCAACTTTATTATTATGGATCATCGCACAGTCAGCCAGATGTTCAGACTGGATTTGGCATTTTGTCTACCTATCGAGTCCTTACCCAGGACCTGGGATAGGCAGATGTGGATGTTTGATGGTATTACAGGTATCGTCGCAGGATGGAAGCAGTTCCTAGTAAGGCCGCCTTTTGCAATTGACTAATGGCGAATTTGTCAGTGCCAATGGTGTTCAAGTGGTGCTCCAGTTGTTTTGGGATTGCACCCAAGGAGCCTATGACTATTGGTACTAACATTGCTTGCTTTTGCCACAGTCTTTCTATTTCTATTTGTAGGTCTTTGTATTTTGTTATCTTCTCCAGTTCTTTCTCTTCTATTCTGCTGTCTCCAGGCACTGCCACGTCCACTATCCAGACTTTTTGTCTTTCTTATCGACAATTGTTAAGTCTGGGGTGTTATGTTGCAGGTGCTTGTCTGTTTGAATTCTGAAGTCCCAGAGCAGTTTAATTTTATCGTTTTCTATGACTTTCTCTATTTTATGATCCCACCAGTTTTCACTTACAGGCAAATGACATTTTTTGCAGATCTTGCAATGCACCATTGTTGCTACTTTGTCATGCCGCTGCTTGTAGTCAGTCTGTGCAATCTTCTTGCAACAGCTTACCAGGTGGTCCACTGTTTCTTCAGCTTCTTTGCATAGGCGGCACTTACTGTCTGTATTGTTGTTGTTGTTATTATTATTATTATTATATACCCGTAGTCCTTAAATAAAGTCCACAACTGAGCCCAGAATTTCCAAGCTAAGCAAGATGGTTGTTAAATGAGCTTGCCCCATTTTACGACCCTTTTTTCCACAGACATTAAGCGAATCATTGCAGTTGTTAAGTCCTCGACTTACAGCTGTTTGTTTAATGACCGAAGTTACAGCGTCACTGAAAAAAGCGACTTAGGACTGTTTCTCCCACTTAACGGCCGCTGCAGCGTTCCCATGTGATCCAAATTCAGACGCTGGGCGACTGACTCCTAGTTACGACTGCCGCAGTGTCACGGGATCCGCTTTTGTGACCTTCTGACGGACAAAGCCAGATTGGCTTAACCACTGCGGCAGGAAAGGTCGTAAAAAGGGGCAAAAACTCACTTAACCACCTATCAGCTGAAACTTTTACGCCCAACCCTGGTCATAAGCCAAGGACTGTCCCTGCAGCCGGACTTCGATGAGGTTCCGGATGACGCAACTCTTCAAAAATCCTGTGTAACTGGAAGAAAGAATGGAACCTCCATGTTCAAGAGCATTCTACCAACTTTTGCTGCTTTCTTTGGGTTGCCGGTGGTCCTGCTCTCGATAGGGAGGGTGTCTGTTCCCCCTCCCAGTTTCACCCCAGATTCAAATGTAAAATATGGGGGCTGCACCCCCCCCCCCTTTTGCTTCCTTTCCAGGCTATTTCATCCACGACTCTCTGGACATCGTCGTCTGCCGCCAGTCCAGGGCTTCCTGGGAGTATCTGGTCCACCACGCCGTGGCAAGTAGTGGGGGGCTTCGGGGGGGCAGGAGGAGGGGGTGATCTGCTTGTGTTCCAGGGAGTCCTCGACTTAACGGCCGTAATTAAGGGCGTTAAGCGGGTCATGACGTGACCGATTTTATTGCCTTTTTTTTCTGCCGTTGTTTAATTGAAACCTTTTGTTCATTATGGGGCAGGTTTTTTTGCAGAAACTGGAAATATGGGCAGTCCTCGACTTACAACAGTTTGTTTAGTGACCGTTCAAAGTTACAACGGCACTGGAAAAAAAGGGAAAAAAAGGGATGGTGTGGCTGTTTTTCACACCACCGTTAGCGACCGTCATGGCATCATCCCCAGGGTCACGTGAGCCAGATTCAGACACGCGACAACTGACTCCTATTTATGATGGTCACAACGTCCCAGAGGTCACGCGATCCCCTTTTGCAACATTCTGGCAAGCAATGCCTAGGGCAGGGGTAGGCAACCTTGGCCCCTTCATGACTGGTGGACTTCAACCCCTTCATGACTGGTGGACTTCAACTCCCAGAATTCCTGAGCCAGCATGAGGGAACTATGGCCCTTTTATGACTCATGGACTTCAACTCCCAGAATTCCTGAGCCAACATGGCTCAGCTTGGAAACTTCCTTTTCCCCTCAGCATAGCTGGCTCAGGAATTCTGGGAGTTGAAGTCCGCGAGTCATGAGGGGGCCATAGTTCCCCCATGCTGGCTCAGGAATTCTGGGAATTGAAGTCCACGAGTCATAAAAGAGCCAAGGTTGCCTACCCCTGGTGTAGATAAAGGGCGAGTTGGGTGCAGAGCCCGGGAGAGGAGCCTTGGGCAGCAGAGGGACCCCAGCTGTGTCCCCTTTCTTGGGACGGGCAGGGGGGCAGCCTGGCCAGGGGGCTTCGTGGAGCGGGGGGGGGGGGCTGTCCTGCTTTCTTGGGCTGGGAGGTGCAGGGAGGAACGGGGGGGGGGAGCCCTGGTATTTCTGGATGCTTCCCCTTTATCCGGAGTCCGTTTCTAGAGGCAGGAGGGGGCTTCCTGGATCCGATGGTGGCCTCTTTTTTTGGTCTGAGAAACCTCCCGGTTACACTTCATTGTCTCCTTTCATTTTTCCCTTACTTTTTCCTCTCAAGCTTCCTCCTTCTGTTATGTATTCAAGATGGACAGTATTTGTTATGTATATGTAGGGGTGTACATATGTTGTACATAGTATGTTTAGGTGTGTGTCATGTATGTGTTTCACTTTGAGAGTGGGCAACTAAATTTCATTTTTGATGTGGGCCGTTGTGCCCAGAGTAAAAAAATGACAATAAAGGTTCTCTTCTTTTCCCTTTCCTTTTTCCCCCCTTACTCTTGGCTTCATTTTATTTTATTTTTTAACTTGTTCTTTACTTTCTGCTTTACTTTTACTTAACTTTTCAGTTTGCTTTTTACTATCTTTAATATTTTGTGTATCAATTTTTACTTTGTTTTATTTTTTTACTTTTTACCTTGTTCCTTGCTTTGTACTTTGTTTTTTTACCTTATTTTTTACTTTACTTTTTTTTACCTTTCTACTTTACTTTTACTTAACTTTTCAGTTTGCTTTTTTATTAACTTTAGTAGCCATCAACCCACGGAATAGCCTGCCTTCAGAGGTTGTAGGTGCTTCAAGAAGAGATTGGACAAGCCTTTGTTTGAAGTCTGTAGGGTCTTGTGCTCGAGCAGGGGGGTGGACTAGAAGATCTCTGAGGTCCCTTCCAACTCTGTTATTCTATATACTACTTTATTTTATTTTACTTTTTACCTTACACTTTACTTTTACTTTTTTACTTTTACTTTACTTTTATGTTACTTTTACTTTACTTTTTTACTTTTACTTTTACTTTTTTACTTTTGCCTTACTTTTACTTTTATGTTACTTTTACTTTTACTTTTTTACTTTTACTTTTAGTTTTTTACTTTTACTTTACTTTTACTTACTTTTTTACTTTTACTTTACTTTTTTACTTTTACTTTACTTTACTTTTTTATACTTTTATTCTTTTACTTTTACGTTACTTTTACTTTATTTTACTTTACTTTTGCTTTGTTTTACTTTTAACTTTACTTTAACTTCCCAGTGCTTTTATCCTGCCTTCATTATTTTTACAAAAAAGTCGAGGCAGTCCACCTCCTTGTATTTCCCTTGCTTTTTATTTCCTTCCCCCTTATCACCTGCCCTTCATCTCTGTTCCTCCTTCCCTGCCCCAGGGACAGTGTTGCTTAACCCCAAATAAATTTAAATCAGGCAGAAGCGGCTCTGCAACCGGCTTTTCCCCTTCCCTGCGGTTGGAAGGCAAGGAGGCTTTACGAGGGAAGACCTTAAGGCAGTGTTTCTCAACCTTGACAATTTTAAGGCATGTGGACTTCAACTCCCAGAATTCCACAGCCAGCAATGCTGGCTGTGGAATTCTGGGAGTTGAAGTCCACATGCCTTAAAATTGTCAAGGTTGAGAAACACTGCCTCAAGGTCAAGTCCTCCCCATCTCAGTTGCCTTTTACTCTTTGTTTATTGGGGTCCCTTTGATTTGACCTGAAATGACTTCCATCCCGCCTTGGTTGCTATAGAAGAAACTCAAGGTGGCAAGCATTCCTAATACTCTTTCCTCCTCCTATTTTCCCCACAACAACAACCCTATAAGGTAGGTTGGCGGGACAAAAACTCACCAAGTCCTGGTGATTGGCCCAAAGTTACGCAGCTGAGTTTCATGACTAAGGTGGAACTAGAACTCACCATCTCCTGGTGATCGGCCCAAAGTCACCCAGATGGCTAGCATGCCTAAGGCGGGACTAGAACTCACTGTCTCCTGGCGATTGGCCCAGTCACCCAGCCAGCTTTCATGACTAAGGCTGGACTAGAACTCACTGTCTCCTGGTGATTGGCCCAGTCACCCAGCCAGCTTTCATGCCTAAGGCGGGACTAGAACTCACTATCTCCTGGTGATTGGCCCAGTCACCCAGCCAGCTTTCATGCCTAAGGCGGGACTAGAACTCACTATCTCCTGGTGATTGGCCCAAAGTCACCCAGCCAGCTTTCATGCCTAAGGCGGGACTAGAACTCACCGCCCCCTGCTTTGTAGCCTGGGGCCTTCAACACTGGACCAGCTCTATTCCGGCTTCTGCCGGCCGTCCCAAGCAAGCAGGGCAGACTACAAAGCCCAAAAGGAGCCGAGGGGGGACGTTGTGTTCCCTGCCTTGAGATACCAGAGTGGCTTTGGAGGGCCTGAAGCACCTTGAGCCACGCCAGCCACGGAACAGGCTGCCCTCGGCCGTGCCGCAGGAGGCTGGAAAGAGCAGGGAAGCAGATCTGGGCGAAAAACGCAGCGAGATCAGAAGATCAGAATGAAAAAAAACAGCGTAGGAAGGGTACCTTGGAGGTCTTCTAGCCCAACCCCTGCTCAAGCAGGAGGCTGTTCCAGACAAAAGGTTGTCCAATCTCTTTCTTAAAAACCTCCAGTGTTGGAGCAGCCACAACTTTGGGAGGCAAGTTGTTCCACTGGTTAATTGGAGGGCAACAATTGTGGGGTCCTTGGTGCTCTTTGAACTGGGTGGTTTTATTGTAGACATTTCATTACCCAACTACGTAACATCATCAGCGCTAGGTTTGTGGAGGAGGATGGTGGGGTCCTTGCTGCTCTCTGAACTGGATGGTTTTATTGCAGACATTTCATTATCCAACTACGTAACATCATCAGTGTTGGTAGGTAGGGTTGTGGAGAGGAGGGGGGGAGGAGGAAGAGGAGAGGACAACTGTGGGGTCCTTGGTGCTCTCTGAGCTGGGTGGTTTTCTTGCAGACGTTTCATTACCCAACTAGGTAACATCATCAGCGCTAGAAGGTTTGTGGAGAGGAGGAAGGGGAGGAGGACGACTTTGGGGTCTTTGTTGCTCTCTGAGCTTGGTTGTCGCAGACGTTTCATAACCCAACTAGGGTACCTCATCAGTGTTAGAGAGGGGTTTATGGAGAGGAGGAGGAGGGACAGAATAACAGGAGTTGGAAGGGACCTTGGAGGGCAAAATGGCTGTCTAATCTCTTCCTAAAGAACTCCAGTGATGGAGCACCCACAGCTTCCGGTGGCAAGCTGTTCCACTGGTTAATTGTCCTCACAGTTAGGAACTTTTCCTTAATTCCGCTCTTTGATCTTTGTTTCCACCCATTGCTTCTTGTCTTCCCTTCTGGTGCTTTGGAGAATAGCTTGACACACCCCCCCTTCAAAAAGAAAGGGGGGGTCCTTCTCTTCCCTGAAAGAACTTGATGGTGGTCCAGGGATTAGCAGGGGTCAGCCTTGACCGGTTTAGAGCCGGTCACGGGATTCTGACACCCCCCCCCCCCAATTTGGTCTCATTACAGGCCGCCACTGGTTTGCTATCCGGGATCTTCTCGAACCGCTTTGTGGCCGCGGGGCTGCTCTCCATGTTTGTGGAGGTCAGCAACATTTTCCTGACCATGAGGATGATGGTCCGGCTGGGCAAGCTGCCCCTCCCCACCTTCTACGAGGTCAACAAGTACGCCAACCTGGTGGCCTACTTCCTCTTCCGCCTGGCCCCCCAGACCTACCTGACGTGGTTCTTCGTGCGGCACGTGGAGATGCGAGGCCAGGGCGCCTTCCTCATGGTCAACCTCATCCTGCTGGACGCCATGATCCTCATGTACTTCTCGCGCCTGCTGCGCTCCGACTTCTACCCGGGCGGCCGAGGGCCGGGCTCGGACGACGAGAAGAAGTACTTGATCGACTGAAGTCCCAAGGAGACCACCCCCCCGTCCGTCCCCCCCACCTCCGCAGCGGAGAGGATGCAAAAAATGGGGTCCTTTGTTCAGCTGCGTGGCTGCTGGTGTGCCTTAAACTGCTGAGGACTAGCGACTTGGTCTACGGTGCCTCTTCGAGGGAGGCCAGGCAACCGGGACTCCACCCACAGCTGGGCCTGGGTCTCTGCCTTGCCTGGTTCCCAAGGAAGGGTCAAGAACCAAACCTGGGCCGGGCCGGGGATGACCGCAAGAAACGGAGGAAGAGGAAGGCTCCTCGGGCATTTTGAAGGGAGAAGAAGAGCGGCTATTTTGTGCATTAAATCTATTTGCAATCCGAGCCCACCTGGTCAGGTTGCTCCTTTGGGGGGGAGGGGGCCTGGTCAGGGGTGCAGCACCAGAAGGTCCGGCCTTGGGTGGGGGGGGGGTAAATTACTGGAAGCCAGGATCCTGCTTTGTTAGGTCGGTTGGTTTATTATTTTTTACCTATAACTCAAGGCAGCGGTCAAGGTACCTAAATCTCCTATTTTCCACACAACAACCCTGTGAGGTGGGTTGGGCTGAGGGAGAGGGACTGGCCCAAAGTCACTCAGCTGGCTTTCATACCTAAGGCGGGACTAGAGCTCCCAGTCTCCTGGCGATTGGCCCAAAGTCATTCAGCTGTCTTTCATAGCTAAGGCGGGGCTAGAGCTCCCAGTCTCCTGGTGATTGGCCCAAAGTCATTCAGCTGTCTTTCATAGCTAAGGCGGGACTAGAACTCCCAGTCTCCTGGTGATTGGCCCAAAGTCATTCAGCTGTCTTTCATAGCTAAGGCGGGACTAGAGCTCCCAGTCTCCTGGTGATTGGCCCAAAGTCATTCAGCTGTCTTTCATAGCTAAGGCGGGACTAGAGCTCCCAGTCTCCTGATGATTGGCCCAAAGTCATTCAGCTGTCTTTCATAGCTAAGGCGGGACTAGAACTCCCAGTCTCCTGGTGATTGGCCCAAAGTCACCCAGTTGCTTTCATGCCTAAAGGCGGGACTAGAACTCCCAGTCGCCTGGTGATTGGCCCAAAGTCACCCAGCCAGCATTCATGCCTAAGGCGGGACTAGAACTCACCGTCGCCTAGTGATTGGCCCAAAGTCGCCCAGTCGGCTTTCATGAAGTTGAGCCCAAGATTTGTATTGATAAGCAAGACAAGTTGTTAAGTGATTTTTTTCCCATTTTACAACTTTTCTTGCCACAATGGCTAAGCGAGTCACTGCAGTGGTTGAGTAAGTAACCCGGTCGTTAAGTGAATCTGGCTTCCCCCATAGACTTTGCTTGTCAGAAGGTGGCAAAAGGAGATCATGTGATTCCCCCCCCCAGACACTGCAACGGTCGTAAATACGAGTCCGTTGCCGAGCCTGAGTTTTGATCACGCGACCCTGTGGATGTGCAGCGGTCGTTAAGTGTGAAAAAGGGTCACTTTTTTCAGAGCCGTTGCAATTTCGAACCGTTGTAAGCCGAGGACAACCTGGACTGTGGGCTACTCAAGAGAAATTCAGGAATCAGCCATGCAAATTCCCCCCCTGCAGAAAGAGGCTTAGAGGGTGTTTTGTGGGTGGGGTGAAGATTCAACTAGCTGCCTTTTTCCATCCAGGAAGCAGATGGAAGATAAAATACCAAAACGTGTCAGTCACCTCAATGAGGCAGTGAGAACTTTGGCGCTTCCTTGCAGGTTGGAAGTGGGGGTTTCGAACCCTTTGCCCTAGCCCCCCCCCAGGCCCACCCAGCAAGCTTCTCTCTCTGGTAACGGATGGGCCCTGAAAGGAGATGGGCGAGTTTTTATTTGTTTTTATTATACACTTATTATCATCGGGTACAATATAAATAGAACGAACAAAAATTAAGCAAAAGTGAAGAGAGGGGAAAAAGAAGGAAGAAAAGAAAGATAGGTAGAAGGGCAGGAATAGGAAAGACGAAAGGAAGAAAGGAAAGAAGAGAAAAAGAAAAAAAAAAGAAAGAAAGAAAAAACAAGCAAGAAAGTTGTATTTTAAATTTGGAAATACCAATTCATATGAGAGAGAGAGAGAGATTGTATTTTAATCTTGGAAATAAATAAAAATTCATTATCAAAGAAAGAAAAAGTAAGAAAGAAGAGAAAGAAAGAAAAAAAAGAAAAGAAAAAGAAAAGAAAAAAAAGAAAGCAAACAAGCAAGAAAGTTGTATTTTAAATTTGGAAATAAATACCAATTCATGAGAGAGGGAGAGAGAGAGAGAGAGAGATTGTATTTTAATCTTGGAAATAAATAAAAATTCATTATCGAAGAAAGAAAGAAAGAAAGAAAGAAAGAAAGAAAGAAAGAAAAAGCAAGAAAGAGAAAGAAAAAAAGAAAAAGAAAGAAAAAAAGAGCAAACAAGAAAGTTGTATTTTAAATTTGGAAATATCAATTCATATGAGAGAAAGATTGCATTTTAATCTTGGAAATAAATAAAAATTCATTATCAAAGAAAGAAAGGAAAAGTAAGAAAGAAAAAAAAAGAAAGCAAACAAGCAAGAAAGTTGTATTTTAAATTTGGAAATAAATACCAATTCATGAGAGAGAGAAAGATTGTATTTTAATCTTGGAAATAAATAAAAATTCATTATCAAAGAAAGAAAGAAAGAAAGAAAGAAAGAAAGAAAGAACTTTGCCCCTTCCTCTACTGGAGCCAACATTCAGCTGGGGGGGGGGAAATTGGCTGCCAGTGCTCAGCCTGTTTGCCAACCTCCAGGACACCCCCCCCCCCTCGCCTGCTGTTCTGCCTTGGAGTGGGGCTGGCGCCACCAGAGCCTCCACAGGTCCCCTCCCACCCCCCCCACCCGTGAGGCCTGCCCAGCCCTGGCAGGCTCTGGTGGGGAGGGGGCCCTGGAAGAGGCTTGGCCCTGGCCCATCGCCCACCCCTCCACCTCCTCCTCTCTGCCTTTGTGCAGAGGGTGTGAAGAAGAGGCAGACAAAGGGCTGACCTGGGGGGCGTCTTTGAAAGGGGTTGGGGGGCAAAGGGGGGGCAGCCAAGGGTCTCTTGGGAGGCAGGGGAAGCGCCCTCCATTGCACCCACGGGAGGGCCCACGGGGGAGGGGGCCAAAACCTCAAAAGGGCAGCGAGGAAGCCAAAAGTGAAGAGGGGCCCCTGGCAAGCAAAAGGGGAGCCCCCCCCCACTGCCGACTGGGCTTTTCCTGAAGGGGCCCCTGGCAGCAACCAAACGGGGGGGGGGGTTTGCTCTTTAGGTATTTATTGTTTTCCTTCTTTCCTGCCGTCCTTTTTGCTTTCCTTTCTTTTTGCTTTCCCTTTACTTTTAATTCCTTTCCCTTCTTTCCTCTCTCCTTCCTTCCTTCCTTTTAATTTTTTTCTTCCTTTTTTCTTTCCCCTTTCCCTTCTTTATTCTTCCTTTTCATTTCCTTTTTTCCCCCTTCCATCTTTTTCTTTCCCTTCTTTCCTTCCTTTTTGCTTTCTGTAATTGTTCTCTTCCTTTTCTTTTCCCCTTTCCCATATTATTTTTCTTTCTTTTTCTTTTCCTTCCTTCCTTCCTTTTTTACCTTGCTCCCTTTTCCTTCCTTCCTTCCTTTTTGCTTTCTCTTTACTTTTAATTCCTTTTCCTTCTTTCTAATTTTTTTCTTCCTTTTTTCTTTCCCCTTTCCCTTCTTTATTCTTCCTTTTCATTTCCTTTTTTCCCCCTTCCATCTTTTTCTTTCCCTTCTTTCCTTCCTTTTTGCTTTCTGTAATTTTTCTCTTCCTTTTCTTTTCCCCCTTTCCCATATTATTTCTTTTCTTTCCTCCTTTTTTCTTTTCCTTCCTTCCTTCCTTTTTTACCTTGCTCCCTTTTCCTTCCTTCCTTCCTTCCTTTTTGCTTTCTCTTTACTTTTAATTCCTTTTCCTTCTTTCCTCTCCTTCCTTCCTTCCTTCCTTCCCTTTCTTTCTTTTTCTTTCTTTCTTTCTTCTCCCTCTTTCTTTCTCTCTATCGCTTGGTGTTTTAACTTTGTAAGAAAACGAATGAAAATGAGACCTCAGCTGCTGCCTACTTTAATCATTGTATTAGGGGCAGGAATTGCTTTGATTTGTTTTACGGTTATCCGCCCACCCAAAGTCACTTGCTGAGACAGGCACGCGTATTGAATAAAACACCCGACTAAATGAAGGCTGCAGTTATTCACGGGAGTTATTCAGTGTCATAATAATGGACTTAATTAATACTCGATCGATGTGGCACCACGTCCACCAGCCCCAACAGGTTTCCCGGAGAGGCGTTCCCCCAGGGAAGCCAGCCCAGAGGGAAAACAATGGCTGGGCATGCAGAGACAAAATTCTGGCACCTACAAACCTGTTCAAGCAGCCGGTTGGGGAAGGGAATTGGGGTGTGTGTGTGTATGTGTGTGACTAACTATCCTTTTGCAAGAAAATATGTAGGCGAACAGACCTGATAAAGACACTGCTTATCCTCTGAAACTGCTTGGGTTTTCTCCCGCCTGCACACAAACACACACACACACACACACAAAAACACGCCCAGCAGGCTGTACTGGTGAGCTGGGAAAATAATTCACAGTGCAGCATGTGATCCGACAGTCTCAGTTCTGTGCTCAGGTGACAGGAAAAATATATGTCTTAAACCTCCCTCTCTCTGATGCTATCCAACTATGCACAATATAGAATATAGAGTTGGAAGGGATCTTGGAGATTGTAATAGTAGTAAAGTTGGAAGGGCCTCGGAGGTCATCTAGTCCAACCCCCTACTCGGGCAGGAAACCCTACACCATTTCAGACAAATGGCTGTCCAGTCTCTTCTTAAAAACTTCCAGTGTTGGAGCATTCACCGCTTCTGGAGGCAGGTTGTTCCACTGGTTAATTGTTCCCATTGTCAGGAAGTTTCTCCTTAGTTCTAGGTTGCTTCTCTCCTGGATTAGTTTCCACCCGCTGCTTCTTGTCCTGCCCTCAAGGGCTTTGGAGAATAGCTTGACTCCCTCTTCTTTGGGGCAGCCCCTGAGATACTGGAAGATGGCTATCCTGTCCCCCCTCGTCCTTCTCTTCGTTAAACTAGACAGACCCAATTCCAGCAACCGTTCCTTATATGTTTTAGCCTCCAGTCCCCTAATCATCTTTGTTGCTCTTCTCTGCACTCTTTCTAGAGTCTCAAGTCTTTTTTACATCATGATCTTCTAGTTCAACCCCCTAATCGAGCAGAAGGGAGGGTGGCCAACGTTGGAACTTTATGACTGGTGGACTTCAACTCCCAGAATTCCCCAGCCAGCATGATCTCTTCTTAAAAACCTTGAGTGATGAAGCACCCACAACTTCTCAACAGGCCTGGAGACTAAAACACACAAAGAACGGCTGCAGGACTT